CTCAGGGAGCTCTGTAAATACTCAATCCCAAACTCAGGGAGCTCCGTAAACACTCAATCCCAAACTCAGGGAGCTCTGTAAATATTCGATCCCAAACTCAGGGAGCTCTGTAAATATTCGATCCCAAACTCAGCGAGCTCTGTAAATATTCAATCCCAAACTCAGGGAGCTCCGTAAACACTTAATCCCAAACTCAGAGTACTCTGTAAACACTCAATCCCAAACTCAGTTCATCAGACAAACCCCCTCGTCTCCAGAATTAATCCAGTCAACATTCTTCTGTTCTATCTCCAATGTAGTTACATGTTTCATGGCCATTTCGCTTTAATTGCTGATAATCTTTTACAGCCTGTCAGGTTTGGTTGTGCATTCCACAACATGAGCGTCTGACCACGGACATCTGTCTGCAGTTTTTTACCCTACCTTCTCCCCGCACTATTGCCCTGTCTTGTTTCGTTTTCTCTCAATGGAGAGGAGGCATTGTCCCCTTCCAGACATGAATTTTCCATCTCGATTTCTCACCCACCCTTCGCCTTTTGCCCTGGGCCTCCACACCATCCGTTTCCCTCTTCCGCCTTTGTTAGAAATCATTTACCAGCTCATTGTTTTTTTTCGGTTGTGACTAAGTCAACACCAGACGGAAAACATTGGACCGCGTTTCTCTCTCCACGGGCCTGTTGAGTTTCGCTGGCGTGCTCTGTGTTGGTGTCAGATTTCCAGCATCTGCTGGATTTTGGCCTCTTCCGCATGCTCCCCATGCCTTACTTGAGCAACCAGGATGCCCGACACAATGGCGAGTTGGTGTAACGTTCCCAGTGTGCCTCGTAGTCTCGTGGGTGAGATCTCTCCCACGTACATTGGAACCAAACCAGAGGAAATACCTGCCAGATACAAGAACCTTGTAACTAACAAGATTCGTCAATTACAAAACTGCGCTTACATCACCTGGGTGCGGAGGGGAGAGGGGCTGAGGTCAACCGACCAAGGAAATTGACGCAATCTCACCACAATAAGCTCCAATCACGAACCGCCCCAGGATTAACATCTCGTAGGATTGGCAGTACTGCGACAAGCCCATGAGAATACCTCCAATCACCGCGAGAAGGTTGTTCACCAGCATGGCCTTCTTCCTGAACCAAAAGGCAATGGGTTACTGACAGCGATTCATTGCAGCTAATGCAACTCATTGGCTGGAGAGGACATGCAGGCTCTGGATTGTGTTGCACTGCAGAGCTCCCTGAGTTTGGGATTGAGTGTTTACAGAGCTCCCTGAGT